TTTTGCACATTGAAATTTGCCAGATTAGTAATGTTACATTTGAGACCGTGTGGTAGCCCAGTATTGAGAATTACTCCCATGATGGCATACCATTTGCAAAAGTAGACTACCCAAGGTATTGCAAGTGGGCTATGTCCAGCCTTTTGTAGTAGCCACTTAGTCACAAACACTGGCCAAATTTAGCTTTCATATTTGTTTTTGTGTGAAAAAATTAAAATTTAGCTTTCATATTTGTTTTTGTGTGAAAAAATTAAACTAATATTTGGCCAGTGTTTGTAACTAAGTGGCTACTAAAAATGACTGGACATACTCTGTTTGCAATATCCTGGGTTGTCTACTTTTGCAAATGGTATGTCATCATGGGGGTAATTCTTATTCCTGGGCTACCATACAGTCTCAAAAAGCAACATAACCAATCTGGCAAATTTTTATGTGAAAAAAATGAAATGCAAGCCTTATATTTGACTCTCTAACTTTCCAAAACACCATAAAACCTGTTTTACTCAGGAGACTTTGTTGAACACAAATATTAGTGTTTCAAAATGGTAACTTGTATTACAACAATAATGTCGTCAGTAAAAGTGCCGTTCATGTGTGAAAAATGCAAAAAAAGTCACTTTTACTAAAAATATCATTGTTGTAATACAAGTTACCATTTTGAAACACTAATATTTGTGTTCAGCAAAGTCTCCCGAGTAAAACAGTACCCCCATGTACAGGTTTTATGGTGTCTTGGAAAGTTACAGGGTTAAATATAGTGCTTGCAATGCAAATTCTCTGCACTTTTTGCCTAGGTTGTCAGGCATCTCAATCAAACTTTAACTAAATAAATCACATAATTATGTAAAAATTATGTTTGAATATTACTTAAATGTACACGTAGAATATATAGTAACAAAATACAGTTAGAATGAAATTACTTATGTATATATAATTTATTTAAATTTTTTTAAAAATATTTTATTTATTTTATTTTATTTATTTATTATTGTAATTATATGTGTATATATAAATATAAAGCGATCACATGGCCCCCTATAGCTGGCTGTGGATCTGCCAACAGGGGGACTGTCTGAAATGTCAACAGTCCCCCTGCTGGTGGGAAGTATAAAAAAAAATATTAAACATAAAATAAAATAAATGTATATATATATATATATATATATATAATAAATATTTTTATTTATATATAGGTATATTATATATATATATATATATATATATATATATATATATATATATATATATATATATATATAGATATCTTATATATGTAACGTCATTATAAGTGTATTTAAATACTAATATATACACTTATATTAATATTAAAATACACTATGTATATATGCATTTAATTTATTTTAAAATGTTTATTTTTTTTATTTTTAATACTTCCCACCAGCAGGGGGACTGTCTGACATTTCAGACAGTCCCCCTGTTGGCAGATCCACAGCCAGCTATAGGGGGCCATGTGATCGCTCATTTGGCGGGGGATAGCAGTCCTCCAGAAGAGGATCGCGGCGGAGATAAGTAAATCTTACCTCCTCGGGCAGAAAGCCGTTACCGCAGCGGCTTTAATGCCCATTTAATGCGGGATGGCATAGAACGTAATGGCGTTTAGGTGTTAAACAGAGGCTTGCCTGCATATTGTGTTTTTTGCTTCCCCTATCCACCTGACTTGTTTTTCTCGGATATCATTCAGATGCTGACCTCGAACGTTATGGAGCCAGGTAAGGGGTGTACCTTATATAGGTAAGTGTAATAATATTAAGCCCCTCCCACAATTACAGGCCAAACAGTCTTAATACACACACACATATATATATATCTCAATTTATCCAAATTAAATTGTATTCTTATTCTTTCATCTTTTATAAAACTAAATATAGGAAATTAAAAGCTTTAGAAAGCATACAGGGTGCTTTATCTTGCTATATTTCACACAGTGATTGAAATGTTAGCATAAAAGCAAACAATTATTTTCTTCTCACATACAGTGAGTAGGTGTGACAAAAATGTATAGATAAAAAAGGTCTAAAACCTCTCTAATAGGAATTTTTTAGGACGTTGAATGCATTACTAGCAGTGCAGTTCACAAAAAATTGTAACAGAATATAAAATGAATGTCTGAATTTGAGCATAATGCCCACATACAGTAAATACAGTTAAATCATATATTTCTAAAACTGCTATAGCAAAGTTTATCAACCTTTGGAATGCTAATGTAATGCTAACAGTGGAATGGTAGTTCATTCACTCCCCCTCATCCATTGCTGCCAGAATGGAATCACCCAGTGAAACATCCTGTACTGCTTGAAAGCAGGGGTGAGCTTACATTTTTAGCAACCTTACATACACTATATTAGTGTTTATAATAACTAGTGAATAAATTAGGGTGAGTGACGTTTCATGGACTAGCTTTTGTACAGCAAAATACATGAAAATAAAAACTATCATACTCAATTTCGGTATTGAATGGGATAACAATGTCTGGATTTTGCAAATTATACCATTAATGGGTCTGAATTTGGTCCTGATTTCTCAATGTTTCAAATCTGGGTCTGGATAAAATACAAAAAAAAACAAAAAATGAATTATGTGCCCACTGGCAGCACTAGCAGTCAGTGGGCATATAGTAAAAAGCCTCCAGTGGTGCAAGTTTTAATTAAATACTCTTGCTAGGCAGATGCCACATAAAAAAATGCTTAAAACAAATAAAAACAAAAAAATCTGTGTAGTCATTATGACCTGCAAAAGACTATATAGAGATTTTCAAAACTCCCTATGCCACCACTTGCCAGGCTTACCTACTAAATGTGTAAAACTAAAGATTATGCAGCCAGTTGGCAGTGCGTGGGTGGCACTAATTGTAATAATATTCAAAAAGGAAAATCTAAGGTCCTCCCACTGGCCCCACCCATGGCTGGCAGGAGGGCACCCTTATAATAGTTTTCAGGGGGGAGACCTAGTGTCTCACCCAACCCTCAACAATGGGCTTCAATAATTAAGCAATAGGAGGGTGAACATGCATTTGTGTTCCTCTTTTTTTTTTTTCCACTCTTGGTCACCTCTCACTCAACCTATGAATAAAGTCAACATTTAGCAGATAACATCAATCATTATTTTTTCCATAACTTGTCTTTTTGTTGCCACGGGTGGATTTACAAATTACAAATTAAAACAAATATCCATTGCACAATAAGTTTGGTTTATGATGTAGCTGCATTTTGGCTTGGAGTTCGGGATTATACAATCACCCAATTGGCCCAAATTTGACAAAATGCTGTTCGGAACAAAACAAATCTCCAAGTCAAATAAATTACTCATCCAACATCATAATCATTTACATGAGTAAAAATTGTATATTGGATGTTATTATACATATTTTTAACATATACTAAATAGATTTTGCAGATATATTTATTATTTATGTATTTATTAGCTTAAAGTAAATAAGCTATATTTATGGTATGGCCAGGAACATTTTCAAAGGTCGTGACCATCATATATACTTCAAGGGAAATTAATAGAAAATGTTCATATATTTATTTATTTTGTTGATTTTGGAAGATTACTTTTGAAAAATGATTTGATGAACACATGCCTTGTACTATTTTGCATCAATGATGCCATGACAATTAGCATGTTTATGTATGTTGAACTACTGAGAATATGCAATAAATAGGACACTTTATTTGTATATGAATGACAAATTTTGCTAATTTTTATAATGTTTTGAAGGAATTTTAGGGTTTTGTGTGTTAATGTTTGGATATCAACATTTTTTCAAAAAAATTTAATCTCAAAATGGAACATTTTACACCTGAAGGTAATAATTTGATTCTGTTATATTTGCTAATGTTCTCTGTTCACTACTTACAAAAACATTTACAATTACATGTTGTTTGATTTACAACTATTTAAATTATACAGCTTTGGCTCTAGGAAACATAGAAAGCTGAAAATGCACACTGTACTCGTGCAAAAGGTAAAAATAGATTCCAAGTATGTCTTCTATATCAAAAAGATAAAAATAAATTTGCTTATTGAATGGGCTGACAAAACATTCAATCAAGCAGAAAGCTGTTTTCGAATTTCCATAAAACAAAGACGACCCAATTTACATGATAAATTGCTTCAAGACAAAAATCTTAGCTGACTATCCAAATGTTTGCATCACTTATCACTGATTTGTCCTTCAATGCTAAGTGAAATAAAACTAAGGACTTGCAGCTAATTGTGCCAGGAAAACACAGCTAATTTGTCCATACTGCCAAAAATATAAATGGATTGTGAGCCATTAGATATGAGTGTAAATCATACTAAATGCAATAACAAAGTTTAATTAATGTATATATTGTCCTAGTCAGAGCCAGTGAGTGACATTTAACCAAAAACATGGATCTTGAAAATATATAATAATTTTATCAAACCAGGAATGTCAAAAAATACATTTGTAATGTTACATTTCAAACCTTTTGTATCTTTGCCTGATACATAATATGTATTTGCAATTTAAAAGTCTAAAGCCAACCATAAAGAGACTGTTGCAAACATGAATGTGTTGATCTGCTTGCTCTTATGATTTACATCTGAGTGGGATTAGCTCAATAAAAAAAAAAAAAATGTTTTTTAGGAGAAAAAACTACAAATGTATGATCCTGTTTAAAAATACATTTTGCCTCCTTTTTAAAGGCAATTATTGACAGCTCTATGACTTGGCAGGTTTTATCTTAAATAAATAATGTGTTCTTTTTTTATAATTCATCTTAGTAAAACTTAGAGAAGTTACCAGAGTTTAATCTGCCCTGATTTTTCACATCCTAGTAGCCACTAACACATTAATAGCTATCGAATGGAAATCTGAAGCAGCTCCATTAAGGAGTGTCCTGTTAGAACA